GAGGGACGCAACACACTGGTGTATGCAAGGCCTATGCGCGCAGCGCACGATGGAAGTTATTTTTACATTTTATTACACTTTAGCACATTGGGCAATACAGGTTGGTGAATGGGACTACTACTCAGGACTGGTGCAAATGTCACACGCCCCTAGGAATAGGAATTCAGGTCGCCGTGCTCATAGTGCAGTGTGCTCACGACTATGCCACCACTCCAAACCGTTAAAATACAATATTACGTAATCATATAATCGTGCAAGGAACCAAAGCAAACATTCGCGGGCATTTTGTCTCGAGGAATGCATGTGGAGACTAATTGTACCATTGCATTACTCAAAACGGAATGTTTCTGGCCACTTTTTTGGAGAGAGGAAAAAATTGCAGTGTACAGCAAAAAATTGTGCAGGCCGGCTTTCATTTGTGGACTCAATGTTTTCTGATGATAAAAAGAAACGCATAAAATGTAGCACCAATGATTGTTTTTGGTTCACATGGTGGTGCTGATGTTTGAAAACATTCACGTAATGTGAAATGACAGCATGTCTGAGCACTGAATTTAGGAAGTGAACACAAACCATTCTCTATGGCATACCGGGTTATTAAACCAAAGTCAAACAATATCAGGCTGCAACGCAATGTAATCATAATACCACGTCAAAATTCTGCTGCCAAGTCAGCATACCGAGAAGTATTTTATATATCCAACAACTAGTTTTCATATTCTTTGGGTCTTTCGGTAAAGTCACGTAGATATAACAATAAAATAATAAAAAAATGAAAATAAAGTGAATAAAAAAGAATAATTAAATATCACGACGTTTCGATCGCAACACAGTCAATCGTCATCAGGTCATCAGGTGATGACGATTGATTATGTTGCGATAGAAACGTTGCGATATTATTAAAATTATTTTGTATTCACTTTTTTTCGGTTTTTTTTTATTATTTTTATTGTTCTATCGACGTGACTTTACCGAAAGACCCAAAGAATATGAATTCCTGCAGTCACGGAAGCTTTAAGTCAAGATTCAACACTAGTTTCTAAATACAATAGGATAAGCGATGCGTGGCATTCATTAATATTATAAACATTACGTAGCGTGTTCAATGCAGATGGGGTTTTTTAATCGCACATTAAATCAACCTCATATTTGTCCCTGACCCAAAGCAGATTAATTATCTCGCCCCCCCCCCCCCCCCCAATAGCGAGACACTGCCATCCCCTCTGTTTGGGGACTGAAACTGCACACAACGACATGAATGCCGTTGAGTGTGCGAAAGCTTGTGCCAGTTGTATAAGCACGTGTTGTAATGTGATGACACGTTCCATTGGGAGTAGCGATGCTTATTAAGGAGTTGGAAGCTCCGTCTATATATAAACAGAGGTGTGCTTAATATAATGAAATAAATATATTCTGAGGATGTGAAAGTAATTATAGGCAACGGTCACACGAATTCCACAATACCCTCTTCCCCATACAGCCCTGCACGTCGTGAAATGTACCTGTACTCCGTAATCATGTACATCAATGTCCTAAGTACAATATCGGCGTGCTGTGAAAATCATCAGACAAACTTGTTTCATACGGTACAGCATACGGGTGGATCGGTGGCACAGTGGTGAGCGCACTGTGGGCTAAACACTGTGCCAGTTGAATTCCCGGCCACAGCTATCGTGAGTGGCGAGTGACAGCTGAACCATCATCGGCCGTTCCACCACGCTAGTCCGTACTGACTAGCGTGGTGGGGTATGGTTAAAAACAACCCCCATCACCGAAAATGATGTGGGGAGGCCTGCATCCAGCAGTGGATGAATACATTGCTCCACATTAAATGCGAACACCATAACAACCCAGCAATGATAATAACATTGTGAGGGTGCACAATAGCGTACCTGCAAGGTTCTCGTCGCCACGTTAATATACATAACCACACGAGCAGAACAAGTTCATATTGCACAGCCTGATTAAACAAATGTAACTGAAGCAATTTAACGATAACACGTACAAAGAAAACATACGTTTGATGGTATTCATTAAGTGCAGCATATATTCCAGCGGGTTGATGTAATTGAAAATAAACTATTGTAACACAACGTGACTGCTAAATTTGGAAATTTATACCGAGAATAAATAATAATCATTTACATTTATTTGTAAGGCGCCTTCCACTAATGTCTCGAGGCGCCTTGTAAGATTAAGGAGGAAGGCAAGGCCATGGGAGAAGGACATCTACATCGAATAAGCGGAATAAATATGTGCCTTTAGACGCGACTTTAAAAAAGTATCCACATTGTCGGAATAAATTCAGGCGTCTATACCCGCAGATAACATCCACATACTTTAGTCCGACAGTAAAGTATTTCAGAAAGAAACTTCAATGGAACGAATGCGAATTTACAAACACGAGTGCTGTGCAGAAATGTGTCCTTTTTGGAATTGTAATAAACAAAAACCAAAACCCTTTCTGTCACCAGGTAAAAGTCCAACTGGCCTCACAGTCTCAATCAAAAGGCAGCCTTTGCATGAATAATGGAAGAAAAGACGGTATCACCGTATATCATTCCAATAGGGCAGTGTGTTATTTGGAATGGGGGGAAACATATAAATATTTATAGATAATAGGTGTTTGTACAGCTGAGTCACAGTCTCATTTGAGGCAGATTTTGAATGGAGGGGGGGAAAAAAACTGCATAATAACGAGCGAGGCAGTTCGGCAAAGTGCCCCTCTACAGAGAGAGAGAGCTTCAGTCAACACAATGAATGAATCGATGAAACAATACACGTATTTAGTGGCAAAAATAACTGCAGTCTAGTTCCACAAATATATAATAAGCCGCGTTTAACTTACCCTGCAAAGTTTCAACGAGTTTCGAGAGTTTTCCAACAGCGTCCTGACACTACATTGATATTTATGGACAATTGCACTCATGCGCGGCATGTCAAAGAAAACAAAGTGCCTGGAGATGAACTACGCACACGAGGAGGGGATGTAACGCCACAAACTCTGCACGGATAGATTTAATAATCCATTGCTGTACGGCCATGGCCTGGCAAACTCGCAGCCACAGTCCATACAACAACAACCCGTGCTGTATATTCCCAGGCAGTCTTCTTCTTCTTACCCACGTACTCGCCAAGAATGTCGGTGATTTGGTGGGAAATTAAACCGAGGAACGCGAGCGAACCAATTTGCACACAGCAATCAATCGACGAGTCACAGGAGTGACAACTTACCGAGAAGCCGGCCCAGAAGGGGCACGAGTGGCGCACCCTGGCCGACGTGGTGAGCGCCAGGGCAGCGAAGCTCACGGCCACGATGAGACCACCGAGAACCATCTGAGTGACCCCCAGGGCGAGCAGGAGACGTGCGCGGGCCCGGGGCGGTCCCACCCGGGTGAGCGCGCCCAGGTGGCCGGGGCCACCGAGCGACGACCCGGCCCCGATATCGCCGTGGGACGCGGCCCGCTCTCGGGGTCGCGCAGAGGACACCCTCAGAGGCATCCTGCGGGGCCCTCCAGCCCTGGGGCCCCGATCGCCTCGGCTGCGGTGGCAGGAGGTGGAGGAGGGCGAGGAGGAGGAGGAGGCGGAGAGGGGTGCGGAGTAGAAGGCGGAGGACAAGGAGCTTCGAGGCGGCGGCGCATGGAGCCGGGGTGCCGCGCGCGGCGGCAGTGGCCGCGCCGTGCAGAAGAAGCTGGTGGCCAGGAGGGGGAGGAGGAGGGGGAGGCAGAGGAGGAGGAGGGGGAGGCGGAGGGTGGAGTTGGGGGAAAGGAATAGACGGCGCTGGATGAAGAGGTGGGAGTGACAATGGTGGACGGGGAGACGGGGACGCGTTTGGAACGAGCGAAAGAGGAGATGGGAAACTCTGGTGCGCAAGATTGTGGAGGCCGAGTTTAGGATGAAGCAGGTGGCGCGGGTTCAGAAGAAGACGACGCGATGAAGGTGGAGGATAGAACGGCGCAGGCGGAGGGTGGCCGAGCAGGAGAGCGAGCAAACGATTGGCGTGGCGACAGCCCTTGGAGGAGATCCAGGCACCGCTGACGATGACGACGGCGGCGGCGCAGAAAACGGGGCGATAGTTCAAAGCGCAAAGGACACGAGGCGATGGGCGAAGGAGCGCAGGAGGTTGTGGAACTGCTACAGCGGGAATGCGACGATGCTGATGAGCGGCAAGAAGACGTGGCGCGTGCGGATGAGCAGCGGCTGAAGCAGCAGCAGGATGATGATGATGTGGTGGTGGTGCGTGAACGACGTCGGCACGAAGGGACGATGCCGAGTTGCGCAGAGCCAGAGGCGTCGGCCATCCACTGGTCAGACGCCGGCGGAGTGGACGGAGGACAGGGCCTCGACGGGGAGGAGACGGGAAACAACTGACGATCACTTTGACGTCTCAAGACGTCTCAAGACGTGTCTCCTCGGAGCGCTCACGAGCAGCAGCAAGCACCACCCGCAAAGCGCCGGGTCGCTCGCGTGTCCTCGTCCCTCGCCTTCTCCTCGCTGCCGCCTCTGTCTGCAGCGCGCATCTCTCTCTCTGTGTGTGTCTCAGCAAGCAGCAGTGCGTGGATGAGTCAAGCTGTCACCTGCTGCTGCAGGCTAACATGTGCGCATAGCAAACTATGGCATCCGGCGTGTATCAACGTGTTGTCGCGCAACTACCACCCGCCCCTTTAACGCTGCACGCGTGAGTTATTTTTTTTATCTGCTGTGATCATTATAATGCTGCTGCTCATGCTGCCGTTGTTTGCCGATGCCTCTGTTGCCGACGACGACGATTATGGAATTGGCGGTGGTGGTGTTGTTGTTAACAGTCTTAAGTCATTCCACGGAGAACTAACAAACACTGGGATACCCTACTGCGCGTTGAACGCGTGGGGGGTCTGCGTGGCGCGTGTGTTAGAGCGCGAGAGAAGGAGGGTGGGTGTGGGTGAGTGAGCGAGAGTGGGTGGTGGTGCAGGAGGAGGGGGGCTGGGCTGTGTTTGGCTTTGGCTAATCTCCGCCCCGGAAACGCACAACTCCGTCCCTCGGCGTGTTGTCTTTGCCTGCCGACTCGGTGTGCTCAGCCGGGAGGAGCAAGCACCGTTACAGCTTCCGGCAAGAAGGGCGCTAACACCACCCCTGCCCACACGCCACTCCGAGTCTAGCGCGCAGGTAACGGACGAGCACGCTTCTTTGCTTCGTTTTCATTTCAGGTGGAGCTGTCCAGTGCTGAAATCCGGAAAATATTCACCCATCAATCCTCCAACCAATCAATCCTCCACGCAACCGCTTCTTGGCAGGGAGCGGGATGCGAGGGGGTGGTGGTTGAAGGGAGCTTCGAAAGAAATACATATACCCTGCGAAATTAAGCCCCCCCTGCTGCAAACGATGCTCAAATCTCACACTCAATTCCCGCCAACACCACCACCCTGGTTCTTCTAACACTGCTGCCGCTGCTGATAATAACGATGATGCCTCTGCTGATGATGCTGTCTGCAGGGTCGTTTAATGTTGACATGGGCAGATCATCGGCAGGACGAATGAATGATCTTCACAGTACAGTCACACGGTTGTAAATATTGTACAGGTCTCTGCTGGATTACACTCGCACCGTCACGATCTGTTTCGTTGGGAGTGTGGGTATGAAGGATGACACAGGGTGGCTTTTTAACCCAAGTGGCAACGTCTTAAACAAGTGTAACTGCTGTCCTGCACATGAAGCGCAATAACGGTAAACTACTATTCTGTAAATTAAAAAAAGTTAACAGCGGAAAATTGTATTTCTAAGTCCAAACGTATTTTTCTGCTCAAATAACCGTTAAGGGGTTGCTGTTAATCCATGTGTTGTGGCCGAAACGTCGTGAGAATATTGTGTTATTTTATTTTATCAATGTATTCTTTTCTCATTCTACATTACTTTACCGAAAGAACCAGAGAAGAGCACTACGCCAGTGATGGAAATTCCACATTCCTACGGTTGGTGGAAAGTATGTCCATGGGACAACTACTGTTAACTTACCCAAAGGTGGAACTTATTTTGTCACCCCCGTAAGGATGTGCTGGGATGGGTCAACCCCTAAGCGGCCATCCATTTAGTAGGTACGCAAAAATCTGTCAAAACTTGACCCCTCCCCTGTACGCACGCGGACTCTTTACCCCCCCCCCCCCCCCCACCGTGCGTACGCTTGACGCACCCCCCCGCCCCTGAATCCTATAGAACGACCGATATTTAATCCACGCAGTAACGATCAAGGATTACTAATATTAACGTGTGAAATCATGATTGTAGGTGCTAAAGCGTCAACGTCAGCAGGGAGAGGCTTCGAGACGGTTGCCACTGCTGTCGGTGCTTGCGCGCGTGACCAGAACGATAGAAGATCGCTTCGGCTCGCCAACGCTTTACCAGCTAGATCAGCAGTAACATGTTCATGCGCAGTGTCATCCCACTTTGTTTTCTTCCATAACCGATCAGTTTATTGTTCTTGTTGACCAGCTTGCGGCCGAGCTTTACACACAGCTTTGTACAAACAGTTATACTTGACCGTGTTATTCATCCTGACTGGTTATTCAAAAAACACGTCTATTACGATCTTAATTAAAACTCAGGGAACTCGTTCTAGATTTGAAGCTTTCGTGACTGCAAGGATCCATACTCTTTGGTTCTATTCGGTAAAGTCACGTAGGTAAAAAAATAAAACAAAAATCACGACGTTTCGGCCACAACACAAGTGGCCTTCATCAGGTGAAGGGACCAGACTGTCTAGAGGACAGCGCTGGAGTGAACACAGCCAACCGAATAGAACCAAAGAGTCGGTGAACTTAGTCTCTATATGAAGTGCGTCGACTGAACATCTGCCGTAGCGGTAGCCCGATGTACAGACACGTGTTAGTACTCAAGTCCGGAGGGCAGCAGCAGCACGAACAGAGAGCACCGGGGCAGCTAAAACCTTGAGCCAGCGGCAGTCCGCAGCGAGGCCAGATTGCAGGATGTGTGGTCATCATCCATGGTGGGGCAGGCCGCCAGGCAATGTCAGACTCACTGCTGAGCTGCGTGGTAGCTGCAGTCAGGGGCACGGTGGCACGCAAGTGACACCTCTCCCACAGTCCCACTTCTCCCGGCAGTACTTGTTGTGTGACAGCTGAAGAAACTAAACTGTGGCTCATTTGAAGGCCAGTCGACAATTTATTATCGAGGCTTCACCCCCCCCCCCCGTTTCCTATGCGTACGTACATTGTCGGTAGACCCCCCCCCCATACGCAAGCGTACGCATTTGGGTTAACCCCCCCTCCATGCGTACGTATTCAATGGATGGCCACTAACCAGGATTTGTATTAAAATTTACAATGCCAGCCACAAGGCCGGGTATTTGTAAGTACCATGGATTGTGATACATGATACGCGTTTTAGATTATACCTATGTTATGTATTCCCATATTTGTTTGCCAAAATTACATTTCAATAGACATTTGCCTTAAATGGTTCTGACCCAGTATAGCAAATGTAATGAATGTACGTTGCAGGGTTTTTGCAGACGTCTTGTGACCCCATTTAATGTATATGCAAAGGTACAAGAATGTTAGCGGTCAATTAATTGGGGGGGGGGGTGGGGGGTCACAAGCCATCTGGCCCACCCTGTACAGTCGTGTCTGCAGAGTCTATGGCCTACAAGGCACCCTCAATGCGCCCGATCTCGTCAGATCTCAGTCTGAGCAAGGTTGAGATGGGAGAGCACCATGCATATCAGGTGCTATAGGCTGCAAAAAGCACTGTAAAGGGTGGTCCAAGTGTCTTGTGACCCCCAATTAATTGACCTGGTTTTTTCCCCCTTTGCTTATTCATGTTTGTTTTCACACCCATTGGTACACGAAAAAACATTATTTGAGGATTTAAATGGGGGTCACAAGACATCTTGACCACCCTGAACTATAATTTGATATCCCTACGCATAAGCTCAAAATCAGAGCAGAAACCTTACCGATGTCTCAATGTCAGTGTTAACGCAATAAAGTTTCGCCGTTGTATCATTGATTTGTAAGGTTAACGGAAGCTTGACACACTACAAAAACAACACACACTTTAACGTCCAAAAAAACCTTTATTACGAATAATATTGGTCGCGAAAGCCTACGTGTTAAACTTAGAATCCCATTATATATCCGGACTATTGTACATGTGTTTGTTACATATGCTAAAACGTGTCCGAGGTGTTAAATTTGTTTTCCTACTTAAATTATGTATTTTGTATGTTGAATTGCTGTTACATTAATAATGCCACATACTCTGACATATAGTGTGCATTCTGAATTACCGTTGCATAAATATTACATTTGCCTCGAGGTATAACCTTCCATCGAGCTAATACTGCAGTTTACTGACATACCTCTCTTTCTGTTTATCCATCACGAGTGGGAAAGTTTGTTTTCAATAGGTACATGTCATATTAGGTTGCAGAATGAAATGTAGAAGAATATTAGGTTTACGAACGTGGAACAGATTTTAAAGTCAAAGCAAAGCCATGACCTACAGAGCACTGGAAGGCTGTGATCCAGCAGTCTGTTAATAAAGGGTTGGAAATACATTTTAAAAGTTACTGGTAAATAATTCCCCTTGAGCCTTTAATATCATGTGTTGCACATACTTATCATCAAGAGGTAACCAACGCACCAAGAACATTCCTGGAAATGTACAAAAGGCATAAAAACCACGGTGTTTCAAAATGGATGTTGGCTCATTGCTCAAAGTGGTTTCGGCTCTGCATTGTGGCATCGACATGTGCACGCAGTTTTTTTTTTAATTCTTCACCAGAAGTCAGAACGCATCCTGTTATTCGGTGACCTTGGCACATTGGTTTCCTTCATCCGCTTCTCCTTTTTTTGCGTTTACGTAATGTCACGTCAAAATCGCATCCCCTGAAAACATTCCCACGGTAGTCACCAGAAATTCCAGTCCAGCAAGAAAATATTGCCGATGTTATCATTGTCTTTGTTTCTGTGTATGTGCAAAAAAAAAACCGCACTTTTTTCATAAATAGCATATACTGCCATCTGATTTTACAATGGGTCCATCGATATGTTCTTGATATAAACATAGCAAGGAACATGACAGAGTTGTGAATGTTTATTGTTTTAGGTTATTTTTTTTACATAATTGGCTTATTATTACACACACACACAAATACATTCCATTGGGTAAAGCATGGTTAATAGCAAAGAACAAGATGAGACGAAGCAAAACCACTAAATGCATCTTGATCTCCAACCAAATTGGTTGTATCTTGTTTTACTAAATCACATTAAATGTTGCCGTTTAAAGCAAAGCATCAGTTAATTTCCATCAAGAATATAACTTAGGCTCTATTGCTGAGGCTGCTGGTGTTGGAGCTGCTGCGTTTATATTCAGCAACTACTTTGAAATGTAGATTTAAAATTTTTATAGACTTGCACATTTCTACTGGGCCTTGCCGAGTGTAAGACTAACCATGAGGTTAGTTGACCAAAATTATGTCTCTCACTCCTCTTCGCTCCCTGTGGAGCACAAGGCCGCAACAAGCACACGCCATCCCGGACGGTCTATAGCAGCCTTCCCTGCTTCACCCCAAGACAGAGCCCATGGTCTTTAGTTGGTCGTGAACGGTGCCGTCGACAGGTGATCTACGACTTGCCCCGAGATCTTTTCCTTTGTGGTGTCTACCGTAGGGCAGTTTTCGCTGTGGGCTCGGGTCACAGCAACCTGAGTCTTCTCTCTATTACGTCCCTTTCTCTCTGTTGTAAAATTATGTCACGAAAACAATCGTATGTTCTGACATATTTGTAGAGCCAGGAGGCGGTATCGCCCAACGGAATTAATTTGTTTGCGTTCCTAAAGTAACACATCACATTAAATGTATAGTTTATAGTTTTATTATGAGTTGAGAAAATCCTGATGGAAGCATTTGAAGCCAAATTACTGTGCCTTTATTTAACAGATTAAATTTCGTTGAAAGATGATGCGTTAACCATGCGATCATTCCAATGAGAAAATAATTATTGCTCACTTAAGTTTTTTTTTTAAACAGTTGCTAAGCACAGCCCCAAAGCATGAGTTGGCTGGCAACAAAGAGCACTGCCGATATTTGTACTGGGTAAGATTTAACATGTTTCTTGAATTTAGCAAGGTTATAAGAGCTCGGGAA